AATCATGATTTAAATCACTAGTAAAAAGGCTTGATTTAAATCAACTCGATTTAAATCATAATTTTTAAAGAGCAACTGTCATCTCTGCTACTCCTTTGACCCACTGTTGACTCACCGATAGTCCCAGTGTTGCAGAATATACAGCCTCATGCTACATAACTAAGCTCCATTTCATGCTGAATAAACTAAATTATTTATGTATCTTAAATAGAAAACTATCTTACGATAGATTTTTACCCCAAAAGTTTTTTATTAAAATAAATTCAATAAAAATCAAAAAAATCCGATTTAAATCAAAAAAATCCGATTTAAATCAAAAAAATCCGATTTAAATCCAAAAAATCTGATTTTTTTGATTTTTTTTTAAAAATCATTGATTTTTATCCACTCTGCTGCGGAATAACTTGACACATGTTGTTGAACAATTTTCATTCTTTTAATAAACCACTGTTATGTTACATACATAAATATAATTTTAACCTTAGGAATTAAACTGTTCATCAGCTATTAAGAAGCAAGCATTAAAAAAATAAAAAGATTGAGAAAATTGTTTTCCTTACTTACAAATTGCAAAAATATTTTTTTTAAATTGTTTGAAAAATTATATTTTATTTGGCTTGTAATAATGGCAAGGTCATTTTGGCAAGCTGGTAAAAACAGCATGGTTTTCAGAATCATTAAGAAATAATATATTGAGATTTTGCTTACTTGCTGAAATTTGAACAGAAGTTTCATTTTCAATCAACATTATCTAATCTAGCTCTATGTAAAACTTTACAATGCTCTGTGACTTCATCCTATCAAAGCTGAGGACAACACCATCTTCCTTTAACAAAACACTTTTTTGTTGCAGCTGTTCTCTCAGTGTAAATACTCTTCTAATTTAAAAATAACAATTTTGTCTATTTTTACGGACATATATCCCATCTGATTCTAAATTAAAAAGAGTCCAGACTCAGTCCAGACAACATTGCCTTGAAGCAACTCCTAAAAACTTAAGAAAAAAAAAGATCTTAAAACAGGAAGCTTAGTAAACTCATAAAACTGCTGTTGGAGTCAGGAACACATAGCATATTTAATCTGCAAACTGTGGGAGAGTCTACAATGATTTCAGCAAGATCTGAGGCATGCCCTCAAGGTTTGCTGGGATCTGGGATTAGGGAGTTGATAAGAACCTCAACTGCCCATGGACATGTTTTTCTTCTGCAGTTAAACACAAATGCTGAGAGACATTTGACTGCTGCTTGGCATTGCTGCTCAAGTTATATAAAAGCTTTGCAGCTCCTTTTGCTGTCAATATATCAAAGTTGAAAAAAATCATCAAAGTGTAAAATTTCATTTAAAGTCTTTGCCAGTCAACAGCTCTATTGCACAGACCTATCAAATAAAAGGAAAGATGAGGGAAACAGACAGAACTTTAAAAAAAGTTTTGCAGTGTCCCATTTTTTGTTTGTTTGTTTACTCCATCCCACTCTATTTTGCTTTTAACAAATCCAGTTTGTTACAAATATAAACAGAAAGTATATAGAAGGAATAGTGAGGATATACATTTAGAAATATTTTGATTAAACAGATGTTTCAAGTTATTTACAACAGTGGTATTTCTTGTAAAAACTGCCGCAACAATCCCTGAGTTATTGTAACATCTTAATTCCTCACTGCAAACCAATCAGGCTAAGTATATATTGCTATCTTCAAAACAAATCAAATAAACTGCACAATATGTGGACCAGTGATAGTAAAGCCTTCATCAAAGTATTGCTTCAACTCAGGGGATTTACTACAATTGCATATAGTAGAGGAAACTGACTTTTGAGATAATCTACTATAGTCATTAGCATTCCATTACTAAGGTCTTCCTAAGGATTTCATGACTCATTGATTTACTCTTGCTTCCAGTCTACCTCTTCTTAGTATATTACTGTCTCCTCGCTAAGGAATATATGCAACAATAACTATTCAACTATTTCCTTTCATAATTCATTGGTCCTTGCCTCATCAGAATTTATTATTTCTAGCAGATGCTTTGTTCAAAGAGTAAATTGGAAAACATTTCTAAAAATGTTTTCTCCATAACATAAACACTCCTACAGGGTGTAATGCATGCAAATAATTATCAGTAACAGCAAACCAGAGGGATTTTTTTTATAACAATAGTGGTATACTCTAAAAATACTATTAGTATATAAGTAAAAGAAAGTATAATCTACTTTATCAACAAAAAACTGGATATTATAGAAGAAAGTCAAATTATTTTCAACAAACTGTTAACTTTTCAGTGTTTGAAGCAAATGATTGTTCTATTTGCAACAAAAGCTGAGAATAAGTAACTTGCATAGGAAAAATGCTGTTTCTTTACAAGCAGGTTTGATTGACAAATAACATTTCTTAAGAAAATAACAGAAAATGCCTAAAACTACTACAAACCATTTTCAACAAGTTAAATATATACATGCAGACTTTAGTTATGTTCACTAGTATACAGCATAAATTACACCATTTGAAATAACAGTTCTTTTAATTTGATGTTTTTCTGTTCAAAATCATATACACTGGAAATCCCATAATCTGATTCTAGTCATAAACTTAAAAACTTTACAATAAATCTCAACCCAATGATTTGATATTTTTCCCTTAGTAAACATTTCTTAAGAAGTTAATTCTCTCTATATTTTTTCTTGACTGGTAATAATTTCCATTCATCTCAATAGGATCTTCTCTGATTAAATAAATATCATGCAAGAATAGAACTTTTTTTTAAAAAAATAAAAATTTCTATAATCAAATCAAACATAAAATTTGTTTTAAATAAGGCTGAAAAATAATTTATTTAAAAGTTATCAATCAGTGTGTTGCTAGTAGTATTTCATAAATATATTTTTGAAACAGTTTATACATTTTACACTGTTAGAGCTATCGGTGGTTAATTTTTACAGGAAGATGTGAATCTCCCAAGCATTAAGGCAATATTTCATAGAGCAATTAAATTATTTATTTTTAAACATTGTAATTTTTTCTTCTCCAATATAGTGTTTAAGATTTGCAATTATTATCAAATTCAATTAATTTTTAATAAAGAGCCTAAAGGAAACAATTATAAGTATCAATCATTAAGGCACCTTTCTAAATTAAAACTATAACCACATAAAATATTCCAAACTGCTAAGGCTACTTAGCTGATTTCAGACTCAGGGATATAATTCATTCTTTTTTAATTTTATCTTCTTTATAAATAAGTACAATCATTCCTTTGTGTTCCGAGTATCCAAATGGGTTCTTGTTAGTACTTTAGCATGATGTGAACAAAAAAAGAGGCACTAAAATCATTCCTCTTAAAACCAGATGGCAATTTAATGAACCATGTATTTCAAAAGGTTTGGAATGTGCTGAGTTTTTCTGTGACCCATTCAAATAAAATTAAAATTGCAATCTCTAACATCAAAACTGATGTCTTTAAAATAAATGAACTTTAATGTCAACAAGAAAAAGAAAATACTAAACTAGTTTAACAATGAGTTGTTTAACATTAGCTTCTCCAAATGGACTGTGAACTATATTTTAGGTTTTAAAAGGGTTATTAGGTTGAGAAGCAAACAGCCCATCATTCCAAACCAAAGTGGCAGCTGGAAAATGTGGAACAGCTGGCACTGAGCATCGAGAAAGGGTTTTACATAAATATCTGTACAAATAAAGTAACTGAAGACCACAAATACCAGACTCCAAGTATAGGATCAACACAATACACTAGAGGATTCAAATAATTGGGGGAAAGAGTTAGAGTTAGTTACCTTTTTTTCTCCCCACGTGGTGCTTGCAAGACAATACCGTACTATTTCTTTTATGAACAACCCAAAGTTGAATGGTAAGAAGCACAACAACTCATCTTCCTGGACTTTTTAAGATTCTTTTGATACGTATCTAATCCTCATTATTTTGATTGTAACTATTTACCCTGCTCTTTTCATTCAAGTCTTTAGAGTGCAATTCATTTAGCTGTCCAGTCTGCAGCTTCCCTTACTGATTAGAGTAAGTTTGAAAGGCAGAACCAAAAATTCAGAGAAAGAAAGTACTGTAATCCATGTCTGCATTTGAATAGTATACAATGGAAATTTTAGCATTTGATTAATCTGATTCCTGCCCACAAAAGCTTAACTCACCAACCTATAAGCTGAAGAAAGGAGGCTTCCTTGTTCTACCTCAGAAATGATAAAATTGAAGGTAGAACTTTTAGTACTCTCCTATTCCCTTGGACCACTCCCTTTCTTAAACTTTTTCAAATAAAGCATTCCAAGTCCGAAATGGGGCAAATTGAAAGGGCATCCTTCCTACCACTTCCAGCAAATAGTAGCTGGAGGTTGTGTACAATACCACATCCGATCACTTGCTTTCAACCTTCCAGATGTGGCAAACTTCCAGCCACCACAGAAACTGCTGGCAAGAAAATAAATGCTATTTCCCTGTCTCTTCTTCTCTTAGAAAAGGACTTAAGACTTAGAAAAGGCCAAGCAGCTGGGGCAAGCCTACAAAATGTGCAATTCAACAGAACTGTGGGAAGTTAAGCCTCCAAATCCTTCATACTGGAATGAAACAGATTTGGCAAGTCAAGGCAGAAGAGGGTAAATATGCCCGGGTTTTTCCTTCTACAGCACGATTTTGCCCTTGTTTATCCAAAGTTACTCACATAGGACAAAACTTCAACTAAGTTTTATGGCGGGAGACCCACTCCCAAGTCAGTGTGCATAGAATCACAATCTTAGACTCCCCCTTCCCAACAATTCGCGAGCCACTTGAAATCCTTAAGTCTTCAACCTCCTGGCCTCCCATCCTGTAGACTGAAGTAAAAACAAATGAAGAGATCAAGTATGGAATGAAAAAGGCGGCTCTCCCTCCCTCTCTTCTGTAAAATCTATTCTGGCTTCTTTTCTGAAGGTCTAGTGTTGCTGCAAGTTAAACAAAGAACTTTTCACACACAGAGACAGAGACACCTCTAGACGACGTACCTGCAGCTGCTGCTACCGCCGCTGCTTCTCCTGAGGTCAAGAGGCGACCCAAACTTCCCATAGGAAAAGATCGGGGCCCTCACTGCCGCCCGTCTCGTTTCACACAATGTGAGCGCTTCCTCCGCCGCGACTAACTCCTAAAGGCACTGAACCCCAACGATGAAAGAGGGCATTTTGCTTCTGTTTTGGAGGGAGTATGAAAAGGAGGAGGGAGCAAAGGAGAGCAGGGTGGCGGGGGTGGGTGGGTATCTTGTTTTATATTTCTGCCTTTCTTACAGAAAGCGTGCACTCGCTCGCCCTCTTGTTGTGTCTGTATACGCCGATTCTTCTTTTCTCCAAGATTTTACATCAGTTCCAGGGATCCTGTAATCCGATCCCTTCTGACTCACTAGCTCTGAGTGACATTTCTTTGATTCGACTCAACAACAGCAAACTAGGGAAGCAAGGGGGCGGAGAAGAAATCTTGCCAGCTGTTTCCTAAATCAAACTCCCTTTTTACGACCCTATCTTGCCCAGAATAAAAATATTTTTGCAGCGGCTGGATCCTGAGAGACGATTTTGTCCTTTTACTCCCTCCCCCATCTTTTTATCCCACAGAAAACATTCAGCGCGCTACTCACGTGGTCGAAAAGTTGTCGGTTCCGTTGCATCCCTGACCTACCCTTCTTCCTCCTCGTACCCAACTTTTACAGATGTTGCCGGACTGTACTGCTTCACAGCCCTCACCACCACCAACTCCTCCTCCTTACAGCTCGCTCAACTTTTTTGCGCGCGTCTCCACGTGGAGAGGGGGAAGCAACAGTGGATTTCTTCCCTTGACACTTTGACGGCTCCCGATCCCGGGCTGCTCACTTAACATCCTCGGCGCTTTAATTTAAAAAGACAAAAAGGCGGGAGGGGGAGACAACGGAAGGGCGGGAACCCGAGAGTATTTCTGTTTAGGCCCTTGGTATCCTGCGGGGAAGGCCAGGAGATTAGAACAGGAGGCCAGGAACGCCTTCTCCTTGGGCATCCGCGCTTTTCTTTCTTTCTTACCGCATCGACATTCCCCTCAAAGCACCTCACTTCCTTAAGTCTGACACTAACGGCTCCTAGTTCCTGGTCTTTATTTGTCTCCTTCGCCTTCTCTTTCTCCGCTCACCAGACTTAGGTGAATCCCCCATCTCTTCTATATTTGGTTTCAAGCTTGCCAGCCATATATGTTAAGCCCCACCACTGAAACCAGCGAATCTTGACCTCAGATTGGTAACAAGATCTGTTATCTCTGTGTTTTGCCTTCTTGCTTTGCCTTTAAGTGCTTTTTCAGACACCTCCTTATTAGATGATTGAATCAAATGCCATGCTCACCTAGCTGGAGACAACTATTTGCCATATTTTTTAAAAAAACTACCAAGTACGCTGTTCGCTACAAAAATCTCAGGCTTGCAGTTACTACTATATGCATACTGTGTTTCTGAGCAAATTAAAAATATGGACTGAAATCATAGCTGCAATTAACTTTACCAACTCAATCTTTATACACACCTTTAATTGAAGTTGTTGGGTGTGATTGGATTTTGTTATAAATACAGTAGAGAATAATGTGAGGGGTGGGCACAAACTGAAGAGCCAATGGAACATGGTGGGGGGGCGGAATGGAGCAGCCAGATGAAATGTACAGATTACCTGGTACCTTGTCCAAGACCATACAAATATAATCTGCTCTATCAAATGCAGCAGTGGACTTCATAAGCATGTAAGAGAACTGGTACACTGGTGAATCTAAATAGGATTCCAAGTCTGCTTTAATTTGGCCTTACAAGCCAAACTGATTTTCAGCTTCAATAGCATTATCTCTTGGATCTAGTTCTCATTTCTGTTAATAATACAGACTTGAAAAGGTCAGTAAATATATCAACATTTACCTTCAAGAAACTCAAGATGACATACATTAGCCCCCAAATTTTTCCAAGCTTAAGGTCCAGATTCTTAAGCTTCAACATCAGAAGTACAATTATTTCTTTAAAATGTAAAATATTAAGTTACTGAAGTAGCTACTGAAGCTATTAAAGTTGGGAAAGAAAGTTAGAAGAATTTACATGTGAAAAAGAAGCAAACAAAAATATATTTTATGGACGTTACTTGAAACTACATTTTAAAATAAATATGATTTGCTTTAATAAATATAATACTCAGACTTAGCTGAGCTAATTCTTTTAACTATTCTCCCACATGCTATTATATATACAAGTTTATTTTTATATATGGTAAAATAAAAGGCGTACCAAATATAGGTTGCAGTATACAGTTCTAAACCAAAATTATGAATGAGTGAATGAAAATATATTGTAATGCTTTTAGCTGTTAGACTGTCTGCAGAAAAAATAATTTAAATTGATATGCACAGAAGAATCCAAGGGTAGCAGAAAGAATTTTCATCTAAGCAAATCACTTTTTAGAAGAATTACAGTGATAAGGTATAGTTTAGAAACATATAAATCATTCTTGCCATGCATATAGGAGACAAATATATTTCTAGATAAAGTAAAAGTAGGTGAATTAAAAGTCATATAAACAAAGTTGCTGTAAATAAAAGTCCTATGATAGGAGTCAGAAATTTATATCACATGAAAGAACCAGATATTCTTTTGATTTCCACCTTGAGCCTTATTCAAAAGAGTTCTTAAAACCTGACTCTTCTCCTAGGACTTGAGTAGGTGGGAGATCCTTGTGTATTAATACAGCTTTTAAAAAGTTATTTGTGCATTTTGTTTTTGTGTATTCTCCCACACCAGCTGTTCTTAGTAATAATGTTTACTATTCAGAGACAAAGAAAATAGGTATCAAACAAAAAAATAAATACATACATACATATTCATTACAACCCCTATTGATCACACATGCAGTATTACATTGTTATTGTTATATTTTGGGTCAATCATAGCATGATGTCTGATACTGGTAAATAATTCAAGACATTTGTGCCCTTTCCCTTATGAACCCCTTTATAATTATTATATCAGCAATCTTCTTAGAACTCTTTAACTTAATCAGTATCCTTGTCCTCAACAAGATGGACAATATAGAAGACTAAAGATAAATAGATAATGAATAAATTTTATATTTATCTAACTGTAAAGTTGAGGGAAAATAAACCATTCCAGCATCTGCAAAAACTGCAAAACAGGTTAACCGTATCAGCAACATTACATCAGCACATCAACCATTGGATTGCATGAAGGTATGGTTGAAAGAAATGTCCATCTGCTTCAGTTCCAAGTGGGGAGAAAGACACTGGAAACATGGAGGCTGGTTGGAAATATGGTGTATTGGTGAAGAGGACCACATGGAAGGTCTTTGGTAGCTGACCATGTGGAGTGGAGAGTGAGTATTATTTATACCTTCTCTTGGGTCTTGCCCTTGAGCTTCCTGTTCCTGTGGCAAATACATGTGTTCTACTGGTTGCTGTCAGATTCCCATGGGGCTATGCAGGGATCATTGCTAACTTTGTAGGTTTTCAGAGTCAAGCTTAGTTGAAACTTGGGCTGATGCAATGCAGTTCCTATTGTGGCTGAATGGCTTTGCCCTGAAGGATAATCCCATCATTCCGGAGGTGAAGGCTTTTTGTCTTGTAGATATGCTAGCCCCAGTCCTACTGGGGCTATTAAGAAAGGTGGGGGCTGCTTTCCAAGAGCATGTTTCTCCTTTAGCGAAATATAATATTCTGCCTTTTATAATATTTATCAAAATATTTCATTCTTCTAGGAGAGGGGTGGGTGCTAATTTTCTACAATCCCCCCTTTTGCCATAATCTGTGTGGGTGGCACACACATTTTATTGGCAAAAGGTTAAAAATTGATCAGACTGTATATGCAAAGGGAAGGCATTGATAGAAGCAGTAGAGGAGGATTCCTTCAGTGGCTCCTAAAAGGAGGGCTTTCAACCATGAAGGTATAACAGCTAGGGGAAATGTTCTGGAAAAAAATATACAGTATCCAATTTTCTATGTCAATTATTTTCAGATTTTTGATGTCACTTTTTGTGACATCACAAGGTTTGCCCCAAAATTCTTCACAACCATGGTTTTGCCTTAAATAACTACAGGCTATCCATTTCCAAGACCCTGTTTCCTGACCCTGACTTAGCTCTTAATTTCAAATTGAGGTTAGCCAGTGTGCAATCCAGGCTATTTATTTTTCATATTACACAGAGTAGGCCCTGGGACTCCCACTGATGAGACCACCAGCACAACATATCCTGCTTTACTGGGCTTGTGGGTCACAATCAGAGCTTGGGATTTGGACATCTCTTTTCTGCTAACTCTTCAAGTGAGGGAATTGCCTGAGGGGCATGCCTCCTTCCCCATGGAATTGGCTGTGAGGTATGACTGCTTGGGCCTTAGTGCTACAGAGCAATAACCAGTCCAGAAGATTTGTGTGGAAGTAGGTGAAGGGAATAGCCTCAATCTGATTCTGAAGTGTGCACGCGCGCTGCTACAAGATGATGCAAATATGCTGGACAAATTTTCCTCTCACCAGACAGAAATCTAAGGTGTTCAGAACGTGCTGTGCCAACCACTCCCAAATGCAATCCAAGAATCCATTTAATAATCAGTTACAATATGAATGAAGCAAAGAAAGAAAACTTTATAATGAATTTTCACCTTCCCCCATACTCTTTCCAGCTGTCTTCTGGGGATTGAAAAGAGTCTTTTAGTTTTTAGTTGTCCATCTCAGGGTCTTCTCTTTCATGTCTGTTAGGCTTGACTTGATGATAAGGCTTGAGAAGGTCTGCTCCACTCTGGTTGCTGTGATGACTTTCTTATGGATGTCTGAATCCAAACTCAATTTCCTGGCTCAAATGGATGAAAGGACTCCTCTGGAGGCAACATCTGGGTCAGTGGGATCTGCTTCCACAGATTGCAGAGTCATCTGTGCAGGGCTGAAAAACATGAGAACAGAGAGGCCTCTCCCCCCTTTGTGGGTGATCCTCCCTGGAAAGGCATTGTTGGAGGATAAGAAATTGGGAGGTAGAGTCGGGGTCGGTAGATAGCTTGCAGGCAGAGTTTGGGGGGGGGGAACATCAGTACTACAATTATTAAACAGATAACAAAATGGGAATGTCACAGATGAGGAAGGAAAGGATGGACAGATAAAACCATTTAAACACATACAGTAAATGCAACTTTTCCTATAAAGGAACTTAACACATTCCTTATAACCTTGGGCTGTTCTTAAGGTACATAGTGGGAAGTAAACTTCACCCTATTCTGCTGGCCAGGCAAGCTCAGGGTGAAGGCATTTCCAATGTTTAATTCAACATTATTTCTAAAAATTTAATTATTTTTTTCTCCTAGGGATTAAAGGCATTTAACAGTTGCAATTACCTCAAGGGTACACAAACACTTATACACACACATACCTACAAAGACAAGAGAAAGAAAACAAAACTCTCAGGTTTACTTCCTGATCATTCTCACCATAAACCTCAGTTAAATTAGGGAAG